CTCAGCCTCAAAACTCACGTCTACATGTCACCACAGTAGGACAAACCGACAGACAAGTTTGTCCTGCTGTTGGAGACCTCTCGTATCCCGCCCACCTGGGTCAATGTGGCTGACTGTTCCTCTGTCTGGCTTCCTGTCTTTTAATCCTCTTCCTCCTGCTCTTCTGGCTCAAGCAGGCTGTGAAAGTTAGCTTCAAATTACTCACTGCCCTACAGGAACAGGTATAGACCTTCGGGAACAAACAAGAACCAAAGGAAAGGAAGTAAGTGAGCAGAAGAGAAAAATGGAAGTGGGGGGTTATTAGTATTTAAATAGAGTGAATGGTACTTCAAAGATGAGGGAGAGTGAGTTAGTATTTGAAAGCCACTAGCTGAATTTTGCACTGGGCACAATGATGCATCTGAACAAAAAGAAAGAAAAAAAAAAAATCCTAAGCAATGGCAAGAGCTTAGAACTTGGCAAACGGCCATCTAAGATACAATTTGTCCTCTTTACACATTGGGAACAAAAGAGAAAAAAGGCAACCAAAGACTTGAAAATTTGTTCTATGGGACTATTGTTGTTGTTATTGTTCTTGTCGTCAAGTCACCCCAACTCATAGCGACCCCTCCTTGGGTTTCTGAGGCGGTATCACTAAGGAAGTAGATTGCCCAACCTTCCTTCCCAGGAGTGGCTGTTGGGTTTGAACCGCCAGCCTTCTGGTTAGCAGTCAGTGCCTAGCAGAGCTCCTTTGTTGTTAGGTGCTGCCAACTCAGTAACCCCACCCAACAACAGAAGGAAACACGGCCTGCTCCTGCACCATCTTCACACTGGTCGCTGTGCTTGAGCCATTGCTGCAGCCACTGAGTCCCTCCATCTAGGGGAGGGTCTTCTTCACTTTTGCTGACCCTCCACTTTACCAGGCACGGTGTCCTTTAGCAGGGACTGATGCCTCCTGATAATGTATCCAAAGAGGTGAAGTCTCGCCATCCTCACTTCTGTCCTAGAGTGGAAAATCCCACTCTGCAAAAGTAACATTATGACATTTATTGATACTCCAGAGACAGTCTGGACCAGGAAAATGTCCAAATTCAGAGTGAAGGTTGGTGCTTCCCTGACCACTGTCTAAGAACAAAATGGCACTCTGTTTATATTCAAGGTAAAGAGCTTTTGGGAGTAAAGCAATTTGCAAAGTGGGAATCACGAAGTCCAGAAAATTCTGAACTAATGATCCAAGGAGGAAACAGTTCAGAGAGTTTTTATGAGAAAATACAAGGAAATTCTGCAAAAATTCAGCGATTGGTTGACATGTAAGTAATGGTTACAAAACGGGTGATGGTACATCTCATTGGTAGCAGATTATATGTACTTCTAAAGATTTGTTTGTTTAAAGGAACAAAGTAATCATGGAATTGGGTACATCTAGTCTGCAAACAATCATGAGATGCTCCCTGTGTGACTGCAGGAAGGACATGTATAATTGTAACGTTTGTCTTGAATAAACACCTGTTCTGAATTGTTTACCAAGTAATTTACTCAAGGTACAATGCAGGGTTAAGGAATAACCACCTACCTGAAACAGAGGTTACGTTTGATACAAAATGGAGTTGTAGCATTCAGACCCTCGCATAGCCACCATCTGGTGTCAGGAGTCCTAAATTAATCTGAGGTACTCTAGCAATAACAGAGCTCTAATGGCAAAGTGACTAAGGATGCAGGTGCTAACAAAAAAGTCCGCTGTGTGAACCCACAAGCTGCCCTGTGGAAGAAAGATGAGGTAGTCTGCTTCAGTAAAGATTTGTAGCCTTTAAAACTGTTGACCAGTTCTACAGCATCACTATAAATAAGAAGCCACTCAGTGGAGGCAGGTGGGTTTGGTTTACTCACATTAAAAAAAGCAAGCATTCTTGAGAGTGTTCCAGTAAGAAGGCAGAAGAGGCAGACAAACTACACAGACCTTCTTCAACAAAGAAAAGGGGAACGAACTAACACAGACCTAGAACATAATCCTGGAGCCCTGAGCTTTGAAAGGAAGGATACAGAAGTGGACTAAACTCCAAGTAGTAGAAGAACCTGCATGAAAACACCGAAAAAAGGAGACATATGGAGCTGCAATCTATTAGCGATCCTGATGACACAGACAGCTTAGATATTGACTAGTGGTGTTAGGACCTAAGAATTAACCTAAAAATCGGCCCTGCTAGCCAGGGACTGCACAGAGGACTGCACTGGTGGCCAGTGAGTAAAAGGGGAAGCAGTGAAGAGGGAGACGGGCTGAGCTGTGCACTTTTGGATGTCTGGAGGATGCAGCCATTTTGAATGTTTACAAGTGGTTCAATCATTTCGGATATTTAAAGGAGCAGTGTTCTCTCAGATTCCAGGGACCTAGGAATAGGCTCCATTTGCTGGGGACCGCGAGGACATCCCAGACACAAAGGACTGAAAATGTGCGATATCCTCCTTATTTCTCTTATACCCTGCACCCTCTTGGTGAATGGAGGTGCAGCTGTCCCTCACTCCCAGCCACCTTCTGGGCCAGCAGGAATTCCATCCCAGTCTGTGAGCTCAGACGGAGCCTGGGTGCCCTGCCCTGCCC